AAGAAATTACGAAAATGCCATCCGAAAATAAATTGGCCCAAATCGATGCTTAACGGACTTATCATCCATGGAGAATAGGATCAATAGACTTCATTATCGGTGGAGAATAGCCTCAGCTTGATTCCGTGATCTGTAGCCTCCAGAATCGAAAGAAAATGGCATTTCGGATAAATCGCAAGAAATCTGTGATGGTACCCCTTTGGAATCTGCCGAAAATTGACCCGGAATAAATCCGCCCAAATCGTTGCTTAATGGACTCAATCATTTTAGGAGAATAGAATCAATAGACATCATTATCGGTGTAGATTAGCCTCGGCCTGATTCCGTGATCTGTAGCCTACAGAATCGAAAGGAAATGGCATTTCGGAAAAATCTCCCGAAATCTGTGATGGTACCGCTTTGGAATCTGCCAAAAATTGGCCCGGAATAAATCCGCCCAAATCGGTGCTTAATGGACTCAATCATCGTTGGAGAATAGCCTCTGGCCGAATCCGTGATCTGTAGCCTTCAATATCCAATGAAAATGGCCTTTCAGCGCACATGAAATTACGAAAATGTCATCCGAAAATAAATAGGCCCAAATTGATGCTTAACAGACTTATCATCTGTGGAGAATAGGATCAATAGACTTCATTATCGGTGGAGAATAGCCTCGGCCTGATTCCGTGATCTGTAGCCTCCAGAATCGAAAGAAAATGGCATTTCGGATAAATCGATCGAAATCTGTGATGGTGCTTTGGAATCTGCCAAAAATTGACCCAGAATAAATCCCCCCAAATTGGTGCTTAATGGAGACAATCATCGTTGGAGAATAGCCTCAGGCCGAATCCATGATCTGTAGCCTTCAATATCCAATGAAAATGGCCTTTTGTAGCCCAAGAAATTACGAAAATGCCATCCGAAAATAAATTGGCCCAAATCGATGCTTAACGGACTTATCATCCGTGGAGAATAGGATCAATAGACTTCATTATCGGTGGAGAATAGCCTCGGCCTGATTTCGTGATCAGTAGCCTCCAGAATCGAAATAAATTGGCATTTCGGATAAATCGCCCGAAATCTGTGATGGTACCCCTTTGGAATCTGGCAAAAATTGACCCGGAATGAATCCGGCCTAATCGGTGCTTAATGGACTCAATCATCATTGGTTAATAGCCTCAAGCCGAATCCGTGCTCTGTAGCCTTCAATATCCAATGAAAATGGCTATTCGTCGCACAAGAAATTACGAAAATGCCATCCGAAAATAAATTGGCCAAAATCGATGCTTAACAGACTTATCATCCATGGAGAATAGGATCAATAGACTTCATTATCGGTGGAGAATAGCCTCGGCCAGATTCCGTGATCTGTAGCGTCTAGAATCGAAAGAAAATTGCATTTCGGATAAATCGCCCGAAATCTGTGATGGTACCCCTTTGGAATCTGCCGAAAATTGACCCGGAACAAATCCGCCCAAATCGGTGCTTAATGGACACAATCATCGTTGCAGAATAGCCTCAGGACGAATCCGTGATCTGTAGCCTTCAATATCCAATGAAAATGGCCTTTCGTCGCCCAAGAAATTACGAAAATGCCATCCGAAAATAAATTGGCCCAAATCGATGCTTAACAGACTTATCATCCGTGGAGAATAGGATCAATAGACTTCATTATCGGTGGAGAATAGCCTCGGCTTGATTCCGTGATCTGTAGCCTCCAGAATCGAAAGAAAATGGCATTTCGGATAAATCGCAAGAGTGATGGTACCCCTTTGGAATCTGCCAAAAATTGACCCGGAATAAATCCGCCCAAATCGGTGCTTAATGGACTCAATCATCGTTGGAGAATAGCCTCAGGCCGAATCCGTGATTTGTAGCCTTCAATATTCAAAGAAAATGGACTTTCGTCGCACAAGAAATTACGAAAATGCCATCCGAAAATAAATAGGCCCAAATCGATGCTTAACGGACTTATCATCCGTGGAGAATAGAATCAATAGACATCATTATCGGTGTAGATTAGCCTCGGCCTGATTCCGTGATCTGTAGCCTACAGAATCGAAAGGAAATGGCATTTCGGAAAAATCTCCCGAAATCTGTGATGGTACCGCTTTGGAATCTGCCAAAAATTGGCCCGGAATAAATCCGCCCAAATCGGTGATTAATGGACTCAATCATCGTTGGAGAATAGCCTCTGGCCGAATCCGTGATCTGTAGCCTTCAATATCCAATGAAAATGGCCTTTCAGCGCACATGAAATTACGAAAATGCCATCCGAAAATAAATAGGCCCAAATTGATGCTTAAAAGACTTATCATCCGTGGAGAATAGGATCAATAGACTTCATTATCGGTGGAGAATAGCCTCGGCCTGATTCCGTGATCTGTAGCCTCCAGAATCTAAAGAAAATGGCATTTCGGATAAATCGATCAAAATCTGTGATGGCACCCCTTTGAAATCTGCCAAAAATTGACCCAGAATAAATCCCCCCAAATTGGTGCTTAATGGACACAATCATCGTTGGAGAATAGCCTAAGGCCGAATCCATGATCTGTAGCCTTCAATATCCAATGAAAATGGCCTTTTGTAGCCCAAGAAATTACGAAAATGCCATCCGAAAATAAATTGGCCCAAATCGATGCTTAACGGACTTATCATCCGTGGAGAATAGGATCAATAGACTTCATTATCGGTGGAGAATAGCCTCGGCCTGATTTCGTGATCAGTAGCCTCCAGAATCGAAAGAAATTGGCATTTCGGATAAATCGCCCGAAATCTGTGATGGTACCCCTTTGGAATCTGCCAAAAATTGACCCGGAATGAATCCGGCCTAATCGGTGCTTAATGGACTCAATCATCGTTGGAGAATAGCCTCAAGCCGAATCCGTGATCTGTAGCCTTCAATATCCAATGAAAATGGCTATTCGTCGCACAAAAAATTACGAAAATGCCATCCGAAAATAAATTGGCCAAAATCGATGCTTAACAGACTTATCATCCATGGAGAATAGGATCAATAGACTTCATTATCGGTGGAGAATAGCCTCGGCCAGATTCCGTGATCTGTAGCGTCCAGAATCGAAAGAAAATGGCATTTCGGATAAATCGCTCGAAATCTGTGATGGTACCCCTTTGGAATCTGCCGAAAATTGACCCGGAACAAATCCGCCCAAATCGGTGCTTAATGGACACAATCATCGTTGGAGAATAGCCTCAGGACGAATCCGTGATCTGTAGCCTTCAATATCCAATGAAAATGGCCTTTCGTCGCCCAAGAAATTACGAAAATGCCATCCGAAAATAAATTGGCCCAAATCGATGCTTAACAGACTTATCATCCGTGGAGAATAGGATCAATAGACTTCATTATCGGTGGAGAATAGCCTCGGCTTGATTCCGTGATCTGTAGCCTCCAGAATCGAAAGAAAATGGCATTTCGGATAAATCGCACGAGTGATGGTACCCCTTTGGAATCTGCCGAAAATTGACCCGAAATAAATCCGCCCAAATCGGTGCTTAATGGACACAATCATCGTTGGAGAATAGCCTCAAGACGAATCCGTGATCTGTAGCCTTCAATATCCAATGAAAATGGCCTTTCTTAGCCCAAGAAATTACGAAAATGCCATCCGAAATTAAATGGTCCCAAATCGATGCTTAACGGACTTATCAGCTTTGGAGAATAGGATCAATAGACTTCATTATCAATGGAGAATAGCCTCGGCCGGATTCCTTGATCTGTAGCCTACAGAATCGAAAGAAAATGGTATTTCCCATAAATCGCAAGAAATTTGTGATGGTACTCCTTTGCAATCTGCCGAAAATTGACCCGGAATAAATCCGCCCAAATCGGTGCTTAATGGACACAATCATCGTTGGAGAATAGCCTCAGGCCGAATCTGTGATCTGTAGCCTTCAATATCCAATGAAAATGGCCTTTCAGCCCCAAGAAATTACGAAAATGCCATCCGAAAATAAATTGGCCTAAATTGATGCTTAACGGACTTATCATCCGTGGAGAATAGGATCAATAGACTTCATTTTCGGTGTAGAATAGCCTCGGCCTGATTTCGTGATCTGTAGCCTCCAGAATCGAAAGAAAATGGCATTTCGGATTAATCGCAAGAATTCTGTGATGGTACCCCTTTGGAATCTGCCGAAAATTGACCGGGAATAAATCCGCCCAAATCGGTGCTTAATGGATTCAATCATCGTTGGAGAATAGCCTCAGGCCGAATCCGTGATCTGTAGCCTTCAATATCCAATGATAATGGCCTTTCGTCGCACAAGAAATTACGAAAATGACATCCGAAAATAAATTGTCCCAAATCGATGCTTAACGGACTTATCATCCGTGGAGAATAGGATCAATATACTTCATTATCGGTGGAGAATAGCCTCAGCCTAATTCCGTGATCTGTAGCCTCTAGAATCGAAAGAAAATGGCATTTCGGATAAATCGCCCGAAATCTGTGATGGTACTCCTTTGCAATCTGCCGAAAATTGACCCGGAATAAATCCGCCCAAATCGGTGCTTAATGGACTCAATCATTTTTGGAGAATAGCCTCACGCCGAATCTGTTATCTGTAGCCTTCAATATCCAATGAAATTGGCCTTTCGTCGCCCAAGAAATTACAAAAATGCCATCCAAAAATAAATTGGCCCAAATCGAGTGGGGAATAAGATCAATAGACTTCATTATCGGTGGGGAATAGCCTCAGCGTGATTCCGTGATCTGTAGCCTCCAGAATCGAAAGGAAATAGCATTTCGGATTAATCGCAAGAATTCTGTGATGGTACCCCTTTGGAATCTGCCGAAAATTGACCGGGAATAAATCCGCCCAAATCGGTGCTTAATGGACTCAATCATCGTTGGAGAATAGCCTCAGGACGAATCCGTGATCTGTAGCCTTCAATATCCAATGAAAATGGCCTTTCGTCGCGCAAGAAATTACGAAAATGCCATCCGAAAATAAATTGGCCCAAATCGATGCCTAACAGACTTATCATTCATGGAGAATAGGATCAATAGACTTCATTATCGGTGGAGAATAGCCTTGGCTTGATTTCGTCATCTGTAGCCTCCAGAATCAAAAGAAAATGGCATTTCTGATAAATCGCCCGAAATCAGTGATGGTACTCCTTTGCAATCTGCCGAAAATTGACCCGGAATAAATCCGCCCAAATCGGTGCTTAATGGACTCAATCATCGTTGGAGAATAGCCTTAGGCCGAATCCGTGATCTGTAGCCTTCAATAACCAATGAAAATGGCCTTTCGTCGCCTAAGAAATTACGAAAATGCCATCCAAAAATAAATTGTCCCAAATCGATGCTTAACGGACTTATCATCCGTGGAGAATAGGATCAATAGACTTCATTATCGGTGGAGAATAGCCTCGGCCTAATTCCGTGATCTGTAGCCTTCAGAATCGAAAAAAAATGGCATTTCGGATAAATCGCCCGAAATCTGTGATGTTACCCCTTTGGAATCTGCCAAAAATTGATCCGGAATAAATCCGCCCAAATCGGTGCTTAATGGACTCAATCGTCGTTCGAGAATAGCCTCAGGTCGAATCCATGATCTATAGCCTTCAATATCCAATGAAAATAACCTTTCTCGCCCAAGAAATTACGAAAATGCCATCTGAAAATAAATTGGCCCAAATCGATGCTTAACAGACTTATCATCCGTGGAGAATAAGATCAATAGACTTCATTATCGGTGGAGAATAGCCTCGGCTTGATTCCGTGATGTGTAGCCTCCAGAATCGAAAGAAAATGGCATTTCGGATTAATCGAAAGAATTCGGTGATGGTACCCCTTTGGAATCTGCCGAAAATTGACCCGGAACAAATCCGCCCAAATTGGTGCTTAATGGACACAATCATCGTTGGAGGATAGCCTCAGGACGAATACGTGATCTGTAGCCTTCAATATCCAATGAAAATGGCCTTTCGTCGCCCAAGAAATTACGAAAATGCCATCCGAAAATAAATTGGCCCAAATCGATGCTTAACAGACTTATCATCCGTGGAGAATAGGATCAATAGACTTCATTATCGGTGGAGAATAGCCTCGGCTTGATTCCGTGATCTGTAGCCTCCAGAATCGAAAGAAAATGGCATTTCGGATAAATCGCAAGAGTGATGGTACCCCTTTGGAATCTGCCGAAAATTGACCCGGAATAAATCCGCCCAAATCGGTGCTTAATGGACACAATCATCGTTGGAGAATAGCCTCATGACGAATCCGTGATCTGTAGCCTTCAATATCCAATGAAAATGGCCTTTCGTAGCCCAAGAAATTACGAAAATGCCATCCGAAATTAAATGGTCCCAAATCGATGCTTAACGGACTTATCAGCCGTGGAGAATAGGATCAATAGACTTCATTATCAATGGAGAATATCCTCGGCCGGATTCCTTGATCTGTAGCCTACAGAATCGAAAGAAAATGGCATTTCCCATACATCGCAAGACATCTGTGATGGTACTCCTTTGCAATCTGCCGAAAATTGACCCGGAATAAATCCGCCCAAATCGGTGCTTAATGGACTCAATAATTTTTGGAGAATAGCCTCAGGCCGAATCTGTTATCTGTAGCCTTCAATATCCAATGAAAATGGCCTTTCAGCGCCCATGAAATTACGAAAATGCCATCCGAAAATAAATTGGCCTAAATTGATGCTTAACGGACTTATCATCCGTGGAGAATAGGATCAATAGACTTCATTATCGGTGTAGAATAGCCTCGGCCTGATTTCGTGATCTGTAGCCTCCAGAATCGAAAGAAAATGGCATTTCGGATAAATCGCCGTAAATCTGTGATGGTACCCCTTTGGAATCTGCCAAAAATTTACCCGGAATAAATCCGCCCAAATCGGTGCTTAATGGACTCAATCATCGTTGGAGAATAGCCTCAGGCCGAATCCGTGATCTGTAGCCTACAATATCCAATGAAAATGGTCTTACGTCGCCCAAGAAATTACGAAATTGCCATCCAAAAACAAATTGGCCCAATTCTATGCTTAACGGACTTATCATCCGTGGAGAATAGGATCAATAGACTTCATTATCGGTGGAGAATAGCCTCGGCCTGATTCCGTGATCTGTAGCCTCCAGAATCGAAAGAAAATGGAATTTCGGATAAATCGCACGAAATCTGTGATGGTACCCCTTTGGAATCTGCCAAAAATTGAGCCGGAAAAAATCCGGCCTAATCAGTGTTTAATGTACTCAATCATCGTTGGAGAATAGCCTCAGGCCGAATCCGTGATCTGTAGCCTTCAATATCCAATGAAAATGGCCTTTCAGCGCCCAAAAATTACGAAAATGCCATCCGAAAATAAATAGGCCCAAATCAATGCTTAACGGACTAATCATCCGTGGAGAATAGAATCAATAGACATCATTATCGGTCTAGATTAGCCTCGGCCTAATTCCGTGATCTATAGCCTGCAGAATCGAAAAGAAATGGCATTTCGGAAAAATCTCCCGAAATCTGTGATGGTACCGCTTTGGAATCTGCCAAAAATTGGCCCTGAATAAATCCTCCCAAATCGGTGCTTAATGGACTAAATCATCGTTGGAGAATAGCCTCAGGCCGAATCCGTTATCTGTAGCCTTCAATATCCAATGAAAATTGCCTTTCGTCGCCCAAGAAATTACGAAAATGTCATCCGAAAATAAATTGGCCCAAATCGATGCTTACGGACTTATCATACGTGGAGAATAGGATCAATAGACTTCATTATCGGTGGAGAATAGCCTCGGCCTGATTCCGTGATCTGTAGCCTCCAGAATCGAAAGAAAATGGCATTTCGGATAAATCGCTCGAAATCTGTGATGGCACCCCTTTGGAATCTGCCAAAAATTGATCCGAATAAATCCTCCCAAATCGGTGCTTAATGGACTCAATCATCGTTGGAGAATAGCCTCAGGTCAAATCCGTGATCTTTAGCCTTCAATATCCAATGAAAATGGCCTTTCTCGCCCAAGAAATTACGAAAATGCTATCCAAAAATAAATTGGCCCAAATCGATGCTTAACGGACTTATCATCCGTGGAGAATAGGATCAATAGACTTCATTTTCGGTGGAGAATAGCCTCGGCCTGATTCCGTGATCTATAGCCTCCAGAATCGAATAAAAATGACATTTCGGCTAAATCGCCCGAAATCTGTGATGTAACCCCTTTGGAATCTGCCAAAAAATGACCCGGAATAAATCCGGCCTAATCTGTTCTTAATGGAAACAATCATCGTTGGAGAATAGCCTCAGGTCGAATCCGTGATCTGTAGCCTTCAATATCAATTGAAAATATCCTTTCTCGCCCAAGAAATTACGAAAATGCCATCCGAAAATAAATTGGCCCAAATCGATGCTTAACGGACTTATCATCCGTGGAGAATAGGTTCAATAGACTTCATTATCGGTGGAGAATAGCCTCGGCCTGATTCCGTGATCTGTAGCCTCCAGAATCAAAAGAAATTGGCATTTCGGATAAATCGCCCGAAATCTGTGATGGTACCCCTTTGGAATCTGCCAAAAATTGACCCGGAATAAATCCGGACAAATCGTTGCTTAATGGACTCAATCATCGTTGGAGAATAGCTTCAGGCCGAATCCGTGATCTGTAGCCTTCAATATCTAATGAAAATGGCCTTTCGTAGCCCAAGAAATTACGAAAATGCCATCCGAAAATAAATGGTCCCAAATCGATGCTTAACGGACTTATCAGCCAAGGAGAATAGGATCAATAGACTTCATTATCGGTGGAGAATAGCCTCGGCCTGATTCCTTGATCTGTAGCCTCCAGAATCGAAAGAAAATGGCATTTCGGATAAATCGCAAGAAATCTGTGATGGTACCCCTTTGCAATATGCCGAAAATTGACACGGAATAAATCCTCCCAAATCGGTGCTTAATGGACTCAATCATCGTTGGAGAATAGCCTCAGGTCGAATCCGTGATCTTTAGCCTTCAATATCCAATGAAAATGGCCTTTCTCGCCCAAGAAATTACGAAAATGCTATCCAAAAATAAATTGGCCCAAATCAATGCTTAACGGACTTATCATCCGTGGAGAATAGGATCAATAGACTTCATTTTCGGTGGAGCATAGCCTCGGCCTGATTCTGTGATCTATAGCCTCCAGAATCGAATGAAAATGACATTTCGGCTAAATCGCCCGAATTCTGTGATGTAACCCCTTTGGAATCTGCCAAAAATTGACCCGGAATAAATCCGGCCTAATCGGTGCTTAATGGAATCAATCATCGTTGGAGAATAGCCTCAGGTCGAATCCGTGATCTGTAGCCTTCAATATCAATTGAAAATGTCCTTTCTCGCCCAAGAAATTACGAAAATGCCATCCGAAAATAAATTGGCCCAAATCGATGCTTAACGGACTTATGATCCGGGGAGAATAGGATCAATAGACTTCATTATCGGTGGAGAATAGCCTCGGCCTGATTCCTTGATCTGTAGCCTCCAAAATCGAAAGAAAATGGCATTTCGGATAAATCGCAAGAAATCTGTGATGGTACCCCTTTGCAATCTGCCAAAAATTGACACGGAATAAATCCTCCCAAATCGGTGCTTAATGGACTCAATCATTTTTGGAGATTAGCCTCAGGCCGAATCCGTGATCTGTAGCATTCAATATCCAATGAAAATGGCCTTTCACCGGCCAAGAAATTGCGAAAATGCCATCCGAAAATAAATTGGCCCAAATCGATGCTTAACGGGCTTATCATCCTTGGAGAATAGGATCAATAGACTTCATTATCGGTGGAGAATAGCCTCGGCCTGATTTCGTGATCTGGAGCCTCCAGAATCGAAAGAAAATGGCATTTCGGATAAATCGCCCGAAATCTGTGATGGTACCCATTTGGAATCTGCCAAAATTTGACCCGGAATAAATCCGAACAAATCGTTGCTTAATGGACTCAATCATCGTTGGAGAATAGCCTCAGGCCGAATCCGTGATCTGTAGCCTTCAATATCCAATGAAAATTGCCTTTCGTCGCCAAAAAAATTACGAAAATGCCATCCGAAAATAAATTGGCCCAAATCGATGCTTAACGGACTTATCATCCATGGAGAATAGGATCAATAGACTTCATTATCAGAGGAGAGCCTCGACTTGATTCTGTGATCTGTAGCCTCCAGAATCGAAAGAAAATGGCATTTCGGATAAATCGCCCGAAATCTGTGATGGTACCCCTTTGGAATCTGACAAAAATTGACCCAGAATAAATCCGTCCTAATCGCTGCTTAATGGACTCAATCATCGTTGGAGAATAGCTTCACGCCGAATCCGTGATCTGTAGCCTTCAATATCCAATGAAAATGGCCTTTCGTCGCCCAAGAAATTACGAAAATGCCATCCGAAAATAAATTGGCCCAAATCGATGCTTAACGGACTTATCATCCGTGGAGAATAGGATCAATAGACTTCATTATTGGTGGATAATAGCCTCGGCCTGATTACGTGATCTGTAGCCTCCAGAATCGAAAGAAAATGGAATTTCAGATAAATCGCCCGAAATCTGTGATGGTACCCCTTTGGAATCTGCTAAAAATTGACCCGAGTAAATCCGGCCTAATCGATGCTTAATGGACTCAATCATCGTTGGAGAATAGCCTCAGCCCGAATCCGTGATCTGTAACCTTCAATATCCAATGAAAATGGCGTTTCAGCGCCCAAGAAATTACAAAAATGCCATCCGAAAATTAATTGGCCCAAATCGATGCTTAACGGACTTATCATCCGTGGAGAATAGGATCAATATACTTCATTATCGGTGGAAAATAGCCTCGGCCTGATTCCGTGATCTGTAGCCTCCAGAATCGAAAGAAAATGGCATTTCGGATAAATCGCTCGAAATCTGTGATGGCACCCCTTTGGAATCTGCCAAAAATTGATCCGGAATAAATCCTCCTAAATCGGTGCTTAATGGACTCAATCATCGTTGGAGAATAGCCTCAGGTCGAATCCGTGATCTTTAGCCTTCAATATCCAATGAAAATGGCCTTTCTCGCCCAAGAAATTACGAAAATGCTATCCAAAAATAAATTAGCCCAAATCGATGCTTAACGGACTTATCATCCGTGGAGAATAGGATCAATAGACATTCATTTTCGGTGGAGAATATCATCGGCCTGATTCCGTGATCTGTAGCCTCCAGAATCGAAAGAAATTGGCATTTCGGATAAATTGCCCGAAATCTGTGATGGTACCCCTTTAGAATCTGCCAAAAATTGACCCGGAATAAATCCGCCCAATCCTGTGCTTAATGGACTCAATCATCGTTGGAGAATAGCCTTAGGTCGAATCCGTGATCTGTAGCCTTCAATATCCAATGAAAATGTCCTTTCTCGCCCAAGAAATTACGAAAATGTCATCCGAAAATAAATTGGCCCAAATCGATGCTGAACGGACTTATCATCCGTGGAGAATAGGATCAATTGACGTCATTATCTGTGGAGAATAGCCTCGGCCGGATTCCGTGGTCTGTAGCCTCCAGAATCAAAAAAATATGGTATTTCGGATAAATCGCTCGATATCTGTGATGGCACCCCTTTGGAATCTGCCAAAAATTGACCAGGAATAAATCCGCCCAAATCGGTGCTTAATGGACTCAATCATCGTTGGAGAATAGCCTCTAGCCGAATCCATGATCTGTAGCCTTCAATATCCAATGAAAATGGCCTTTCAGCGCCCAAGAAATTATGAAAATGTCATCCGAAAATAAATTGACCCAAATCGATGCTTAACGGACTTATCATCCGTGGAGAATAGGATCAATAGACTTCATTATCGGTGGAGAATAGCCTCGGCCTGATTTCGTGATCTGTAGCCTCCAGAATCGAAAGAAAATGGCATTTCGGATAAATCGCCCGAAATCTTTGAAGGTACCCCTTTGGAATCTGCCAAAAATTGATCCAGAATGAATCCGCCTAAATCGGTGCTTAATGGACTCAATCATCGTTGGAGAATAGCCTCAGGTCGAATCCGTGATCTTTAGTCTTCAATATCCAAAGAAAATGGCCTCTCGTCGCTTAAGAAATTACGAAAATGTCATCCGAAAATATATTGGCCCAAATCGATGCTTAACGGACTTATCATTTGCGGAAAATAGGATCAATAGACTTCATTATCGGTGGACAATAGCCTCTGCCTGATTCCGTGATCTGTACCCTCCAGAATCGAATGATAATGACATTTCGAATAAATCGCCTGAAATCTGTGATGTTAACCCATTGGAATATGCCAAAAATTGACCCGGAACAAATCCTCCCAAATCGTTGCTTAATGAACTTAATCATCGGTGGAGAATTGCCTCAGGCCGAATCCGTGATCTGTTGCATTCGATATCCAAAGAAAATGGCCTTTCGTCCCCCAAGAAATTACGAAAATGCCATCCGAAAATAAATTGGCCCAAATCGATGCTTAACGGACTTATCATCCGTGGATAATAGGATCAATAGACTTCATTATTGGTGGAGAATAGCCTCGGCCTGATTCCGTGATCTGTAGCCTCCAGGATCGAAAGAAAATGGCATTTCGGATAAATCGACAGATATCTGTGATAGTACCCCTTTGGAATCTGCCGAAAATTGACCCGGAATAAATCCGCCCAAATCGGTGCTTAATGGACTTAATCATCGTTGGAGAATAGCCTCAGGAGGAATCCGTGATCTGTAGCCTTCAATATCCAATGAAAATGGCCTTTCGTAGCCCAAGAAATTACGAAAATGCCATTTGAAAATAAATTGGCCCAAATCGATGCTTAACGGACTTATCATCAGTGGAGAATAGGATCAATAGACTTCATTATCGGTGGCGAATAGCCTCAGTCTGATTCCGTTATCTGTAGCCTCCAGAATCGAAAGAAATTGGCATTTCGGATAAATCGCCCGAAATCTGTAATGGTACCCCTTTGGAATCTGCCAAAAATTGACCTGGAATAAATCCTCCCAAATCGGTGCTTAATGGACTCAATCATCGTTGGAGAATAGCCTCAGGCCGAATTCGTGATCTGTAGCCTTCAATATCCAATGAAAATGGCCTTCCGTCGCCCAAGAAATTACGAAAATGCCATCCAAAAATAAATTGGCTCAAATCGATGCTTAACGGACTTATCATCCGTGGAGAATAGGATCAATAGACTTCATTATCGGTGGAGAATAGCCTCGGCCTGATTCCGTGATCTGTAGCCTCCAGAATCGAAAGAAAATGGCATTTCTGATAAATCGCCCAAAATCTGTGTTGGTACCCCCTTTAGAATCTGCCAAAAATTGACCCGGAATAAATCCGCCCAAATCGATGCTTAATGGACTCAATCATCGTTGGAGAATAGCCTCAGGCCGAATCCGTGATCTGTAGCGTTCAATATCCTATGAAAATGGCCTTTCGTCGCCCAAGAAATTACGAAATACCATCCGAAAATAAATTGGCCCAAATCGATGCTTAACGGACTTATCATCCGTGGAGAATAGGATCAATAGACTTCATTATCGGTGGAGAATAGCCTCGGCCTTATTCTGTGATCTGTAGCCTCCAGAATCAAAAAAATATGGCATTTCGGATAAATCGCTCGATATCTGTGATGGCACCCCTTTGGAATCTGCCAAAAATTGACCAGGAATAAATCCCCCCAAATCGGTGCCTAATGGACTCAATCATCGTTGGAGAATAGCCTCAGCCTGATTCCGTGATTTGTAGCCTCCAGAATCGAAAGGAAATGGCATTTCTGATAAATTGCCCGAAATCTGTGATGGTACCCCTTTGGAATCTGCCAAAAATTGACCCGAAATAAATCCGCCCAATTCGGTGCTTAATGGACTCAATCAATGTTGGAGAATAGCATCGGGCCGAATCAGTGATCTTTAGCCTTCAATATCCAAAGAAAATGGCCTTTCGTCGCCCAAGAAATTACGAAAATGCCATACTAAAATAAATTGGCACAAATTGATGCTTAACAGACTTATCATTTGTGGAGAATAGGATCAATAGACTTCATTATCGGTGGAGAATAGCCTCGGCCTGATTCCGTGATCTCTAGCCTCCAGAATCGAATGAAAATGACATTTCGAATAAATCGCCCGAAATATGTGATGGTACCCCTTTGGAACCTGCCCTAAATTGACCCGGAATAAATCCGCCCTAATCGTTGCTTAATGGACTCAATCATCGTTGGAGAATAGCCTCAGGTCGAATCCGTGATCTTTAGCCTTCAATACCCAATGAAAATGGCCTTTCTCGCCCAAGAAATTACGAAAATGCCATCCGAAAATAAATTGGCCCAAATCGATTCTAAACGAACTTATCATCCGTGGAGAATAGGATCAATAGACTTCATTATCGGTGTAGAATAGCCCCGGCCTGATTCCGTGATCTGTAGCCTCCAGAATCGAAAGAAATTGGCATTTCGGATAAATTGCCCGAAATCTGTGATGGTACCCCTTTGGAATCTGCCAAAAATTGACCTGGAATAAATCCTCCCAAATCGGTGCTTAATGGACTCAATCATCGTTGGAGAATAGCCTCAGGGCGAATCCGTGATCTGTAGCCTTCAATATCCAATGAAAATGGCCTTTCGTCGCGCAAGAAATTAGGAAAATGCCATCCGAAAATAAATTGGCTCAAATCGATGCTTAACGGACTTATCATCCGTGGAGAATAGGATCTATAGACTTCATTATCGGTGGAGAATAGCCTCGGCCTGATTCCGTGATCTGTAGCCTCCAGAATCGAAAGAAAATGGCATTTCTGATAAATCGCCCGAAATCTGTGATGGTACCCCTTTAGAATCTGCCAAAAATTGACCCGGAATAAATCCGCCCAAATCGGTGCTTAATGGACTCAATCTTCGTTGGAGAATAGCCTCAGGCCGTATCCGTGATCTGTAGCCTTTAATATCCAATGAAAATGGACTTTCGTCGCCCAAGAAATTACGAAATACCATCCGAAAATAAATTGGCCCAAATCGATGCTTAACGGACTTATCATCCGTGGAGAATAGGATCAATAGACTTCATTATCGGTGGAGAATAGCCTCGGCCTTATTCTGTGATCTGTAGCCTCCATAATCAAAAAAATATGGCATTTCGGATAAATCGCTCGATATCTGTGATGGCACCCCTTTGGAATCTGCCAAAAATTGACCAGGAATAAATCCGCCCAAATCGGTGCCTAATGGACTCAATCATCGTTGGAGAATAGCCTCAGGCCGAATCCGTGATCTGTAGCCTTCAATATCCAAAGAAAATGGCCTTTCGTCGCCCAAGAAATTACGAAAATGCCATACTAAAATAAATTGGCACAAATTGATGCTTAACAGACTTATCATTTGTGGAGAATAGGATCAATAGACTTCATTATCGGTGGAGAATAGCCTCGGCCTGATTCCGTGATCTCTAGCCTCCAGAATCGAATGAAAATGACATTTCGAATAAATCGCCCGAAATATGTGATGGTACCCCTTTGGAACCTGCCCTAAATTGACCCGGAATAAATCCGCCCTAATCGTTGCTTAATGGACTCAATCATCGTTGGAGAATAGCCTCAGGTCGAATCCGTGATCTTTAGCCTTCAATACCCAATGAAAATGGCCTTTCTCGCCCAAGAAATTACGAAAATGCCATCCGAAAATAAATTGGCCCAAATCGATTCTAAACGAACTTATCAT